TGATGATACCAAATGATAAGGATTCCAATTGGGGAAGAAACCAAATGCCAAATTAAACAACAAAGATAGTAAGATAGATTATAAATAAGAGATGAGAAGGGCAGAAAAAAAAGGTTAATTAAATAAACAATCAGCCAAGGAAGAAGAGAAACTTGAATTCGAAAAGAAACAACTCAAATTGAAATCCACAAATGAGCAATCTCAAGTGAAATCAAGGTTAAGAAGTCCTAAGTCAACAATGGGAATCCACCCATCACTAATCTAGATTAAGCTACACTAAGCTAGACTAACCTAAAAGGGATTCCACCTTTAAACTACACTCTTGAAAGAGTTTGTTCATCTAACATTCAAAATTCATATATTCTAAGTCTTCCAAAATGAAAAAGACTACTATTTATACTAATAAAATAAAGAAGACACTTTCTTTACAATTTACCCTTAATGAGATAAGGGCCTTGTTTGATTGCCTTCTTTTGTAAATTCTTGAAATTATGATATGGTCTTTTTCTTCTTTGGCTTCACTTTGATGTACCTTCCACACATTGTATGTCTTTACTTTGTGTCCATCAAGCTCCTCTAAAGCTTTTACGTGATCCATGTTATCCATGTCGTTATCAGCCCTACATCACACTTAGCATATACAATTGTAGCATATAAACTCTGAAATAGTGTTTGGTGTTTCAATTATATTATGAGTTGTTGCTTTATATCCTTTATAACAATCATGTATATGTTATGATTAATAAATATTGAGATCTGTCCATTACAATTAGCAACTGCTTGAGGCATTTTCAATCTTCTCTTGTACTTATTGATGTGATTAACCTATTGAAAGGGTTCTATAATAACTACACAAGCAAAATTGTGAAACTTGTGCAACATTTAAACCCTTTGGAAAGCTTATTGAGATTTCACTTATCTAAAATTCCAATAAATGACATCATCATTTATGTGTTATTACTTTACTTCTTTTAGGTTGCACTCTTATGGGCTGAACACTTTGATCACCACAATCCTGCTTCTTTCCCATTTTAGTAGTCTTCATTATTCTTAGACATAGATCCCCATCACTAGCCATGTTAACCAGCAATAAGCTGAATTATTCTTAGACATAGATCCCCATCTCTCCTTAGTTACAGAATTATCATCTCCCAAATTATATGTGACAATATTATGAAGAACTTTATTTCTGCTTTTAATGTCAGTATATGAGATTCATCCGTCTGCACCATTGTGGGTGTTAGAAAACTATATGCACAGCTAAAGCATGCCAGAATCTTATTGCTTACATGAATAATAATAACCAATAAAGTTTATTCTAGAACACATATAATCATATGCTAGAACACATAAACTTGCTGAAATTTAATACAAGAATTACCTCTTAAAGCATAAGTAGATACGTTCAAGTGAATCCACAAGTTAGACAAACCTTTGAGCGAATCTACACGATACACAGCAACTTTGCATTCTTCTACAATGTTCTCAAGTTCACATTCGAACTCTCTCAATACTTGGGTGGGCAAGTATGAATAGAAAACTGATTGTCTTTCTAGGTTAGGAGAAACCCTACTTATAGAATTTCTTCCTAGTACAAAAAAGTCTTTTTCCTTCATGAAAAAGAAACACACGTTTCTTCTCCAAAAAAAATATGTGCTCCTTTCTTTTTCCCTAGAAAATAGGATTCTGAGTTCTAGTTAAATATGGGCACTGTATGTACCACAGAATTAATTATTGAGACTTCCTATTATGGAAATAATTTTAAATAATTAATTTGAATTATTCTTACCATAATAAATTACAAATCATTCCACTAGAAATTCGTAATTGCACTCCTCTATTTATATTTCAAAATTTCCCATTAAAAATTTATGTAATTGCCCACGTTAAGATTACAGATATTAATCAATAAATTAAATTACTGATGAATTTAATTCAATGATTAATTTCCTTTAGAGCACTTCTTAATTTATTTCATGTGTCGGATTTATAAATCCACTTGCAAGGTTTGACACGATGAAAACTTATAAGCTTCTCAAAAAGGCATATCAATCAATCTCTATAATGAGACATGGATTTCATCAACTAACTTATTATTTCACCAATATATATTACTATCATCCAATCTACCAGGCATATTGACTCATCTCAGATTCTCACCTTTCAATAAATCAAAATAATAATCAATATATATAGATTATAATAGTTATATCACGATTAAGAATATAAGTACATTTAATAGTTTAGAGAATATGCTTTTGTCAGTTAGTCTAAAGCAACTATCTCTACTCGCTCCCGTTCAATACATACAAAATGCACTAACACAAAAAGTTGGAACTATATTGTTCCCATAATCAAGATAAATTATATATAATCTTGTATACAATCGTACCGATGACATGTCCAATTTTCATCCTAGATTGTGAACAAAAAAATGTATACTTATAAGAACCGATGATTTAATCCTCTGTGTACAAGCTAAAACTTTATACACTAAATCATCTACTATATAAGTAAACATACATACACCATAAACGAAGATATAATCTATTAAAACTGAATAAATAATTATTTTATAATAAATACTATATCTAAACATAGGATTAATAGTATATATCCCAACAGTGGAAACTTCCACCAAGGATAAATTATTCTCAATAAGAGCTTCCTTGATTTCCTTGCCATCCTTGCAGTTTCCTTTAGGACTGAGCTGACCGAGAGAAATAAACTCTTAAGTAATCTATGCCTAAATCAAATTTATCTGTGAACTAGTGACAATTACAAAATTACAGATACTATCTTTACTAATCGTTTGTTATTTTCACCACAATTTAACCTCTGTCTACTTATTTTAAATTGACTCTGTTGTAACCATGTAGGGGTCGCACCACCAACAACGAAAACTTTACCATGGACCTTGAAACTCTCCGTAGAGGATGACCTTTTTTCATGTATAGGTTTACCAAACGTATTCACCCCGTCTTTTATAATACTCATATGTTGCTTATGCCCTTACGCCCTTTCGTTACAATATTATTGACTTGAGCTTCTTTGTTTGATGATGTTGTTGATACTTGTATTCCTTTTTTCTCAATGGGAATCTTGTTTAATGCCTCAAACTTGTTTTCCACCAGTGGTTGATTTGTCTTTTCAGTATTTTGGTCTTCGAAAATGTGATGTTTCTTATCCACCACCTTCCAATTAGCAAGATCACCCACTACTTTAGCACTAGATAGAATCTTAGCTTTGCCTTTATAAAAACTGTGGACCTCAGTTTCTTGAACTTTGATCCTTTTCTCCTCAATTAGTTCATGCCTTTCTCCCCTTGGTGGCTGGTTCATACTTTTGCAGCTCTCCTTGCTATGTCCTTGTGTTTTACATTCAATACAATACCTTGGAACATAATCATATTTTAACTGAACGACTTCTATCCTAGTCTTTCCTGTAGCTTCATCTTCAATATTCATTAGAACTTGACTAGGGAAAGCTCTTTTTAGGTCCACCATCACCTTTACTCTTGCACAACTTGGCCTAGTCTTGTTGATTGTGGCTAGGTCAAGTTGAACCTACTCCCCTACTGCCAAAGCTTATTGAAAAAAGACACCCTATAACGAAGAAAGTAAACAATAGATTAGGGAACGAAATCCAAGCTATAACTTTAGTCATTTCTTCATTTATCCTAAATTTCACATCATATATGAGTGTCTACATTAGATTAAATAACCATCTTTGCAAGTTATATAGAAAGCTCCTTTAAAAATTAAATTTATGAAATCTTCCTCAAGACTTAGACATCATCCGATATTTGTTGCTCCATTCAATTTTATCTACTTGCTTAATCACTTCCTTTTATCGGTAAAATATGAACCTAATAAGTTAAATCAAGATTCGTGTCCTTGAACTCATAAATTCAGCTAAATCAATTTCTCGATAAACATTACTATAAATATGAATCATCAATCAAATATAGTTTCAAATTATTTTGAAATAAATACTTTGCCTTTTCATAATCTCGTCATAAAGTAAATCAAAATGTATGTATTTTGGTTCTTACAATATTTCGTGTAAATGCTTGTGAGGAAAAAAAATTATGCATTAGGCTTATGGACCCTTTATTCATTGGGATACTTTAAAAAACAACAAACATTAGGCTGTAAATAGGACTACTTAGCTATAGTTTCACTAATTATAATTCGCAGGTACATTTTTGGTTCGCTATACAGTACATTATATTTATTGTATTTTTTCGCGGATTTTGGAGAAAAAAATACTAATACAAATTGATTTGTATCAAAATGAACAAATGAATACATATTAGAAGGAAAGAGGCGAGCAAGATCGAGAGAGGGAGGAGAGAGGCGAGCGAAATCGAGAGAGGGAGGAGAGAGGCGAGCGAGATCGAGAAAGGGAGGAAAAAGGATGAATACATATTGTATTTGTTGTATAACGAATACAATTGACACATAATACAAATACAATTGAATACAAATTTAGTTTTTCGAATACAATCGATGTAAAATACAAATATCTCACTTATATTTGATTGGATACAATTGATACATAATACATGTGATAGAGAGGATGAATGCATATTGTATTCGTATGAATACAAATACAATTGATACAAAAATACAAATATAATTTTTCGAATACAATTGATATAAAATACAAAACTCTCACCTATATTTGATTGAGTACAATTGATACATATACATTTTAATGAATTTCTTCTTATTGGCAAGGAGAGAGAGGGAGAGGAGTGGCAAGGGAGAAAGTGAGAGAGTTTTGCTATAAAAGGTGGTTTTTTTTTGTAATTTTTTTAAACTATAATTATTTTCCATAAATATATTTACATTTTTGTCTTATTTCATAATTTTATTTTGTTAAAAATGCAATAGAATCGTCATAAAATTGAGGTGGAACATATTTGGGCCATTGAGTGAGAGTCTTTTGGGTCAGAGTGTGGACACGTTCACCAAATACCCATCACTAAAAAAACCGAATCAACCCAATCAACATTCAGAAAAACATCTGTGTAGATAAAACATCATAACCCAAAAATGGCTAACCGTTTTGGTGTCAAGTTACAGAGTCGGCTGCCAAATTTGGCGGGATTTTATCTATTTTCAACCCCAATAACATGTACCAATTCAGTTCAATGTTGTTCAAAGGCTCAAACAAGAATTGTTGGTAAGAGGAGAGCAATTCGGTGCAGAAATATTCATCGTAGAGTTGTCTTGGGAATTGGGGTATCGTTGTGGTCTCAGTTCATGAGTATGGCTGGCAATGTCGGTGCTAAATCCTTCGTGGCTTCTGCAAGACAGAAGGGTGCAATTGAACAGGTAAATTCTGCATCTTCATCTTCTGCAAGACAGAATTTGCTAAAAATGACAATGGAAGTTACTAGTGAAAGCATTAGATAATTAAACTTTCATTGCAATGTGAACTAGGTGGTGATTACGCCTAAAGTATCTAGATAGAAATTGAGTGAATCACAATAACTTAATTCAGCGTTTTTTTTTTTTTGGATGTCTTGATAAGCTCAATGCATTAAGTCAAGTGTATATAGCCAAGGCGTTTAACCCCTAGGCCACTAAAGTCATCGCTTGGGCCCCATATATTTTGGGATCCTATTTAAAAAAAACAATTACTTATCCATGTTATTTTTAAAAAAAAATTATATATACTATGAGAGTTATGATTTATACTAATGAAATTGCATATGAGATGAGAATAAATTTGAATTTCGTAAGAAACAATTTGATGAAAATATAGATAGCGAAATCACAAAGTCCCTTGAAGAATCATTTAGAGTTGTTTGCTTTATATATGTAGAGTAGATCAAACTATTTTTTCGCTTCAAAATAGATTTGAACCAATTGAAACATATGAAAATATTTTTGATTTCTTATTTAGTGGTAAAATACTGAGATCACTAGATGATGAGAATTTTAAAAAATATAGTTATTATGATATTGATAGTTTAGATTTATTTTTTGAATTATAAGTGTTAAGGGAAATTATGCAACTAGAAGATAATGATCTAATGAAAATACTCAATCAAATAAAAAGATTTGATTCTTTTTCAAATACACATATTGCTTATAGAATAATGTTAACAGTTCTTGTAACCGTTGCCTCAGCGAAAGAAGTTTTTTCGAGATTAAAATTGATTAAATCTTCTTTAAGATCAACAATGTCTAAGAGAGAATGAATGAATTATCTATATTACCATTTAAAATGGAATTATTAAAACAAATTGATTATAAAATAGTACATAAAAATAGTTAGAGAAGTAGATTTTAAATAAAAGTATATATGATGAAAAAAAAATAAGTATTAGGCCCCTCTCTTAAGTTTCACTTTAGGCCCCCAATGTTGTTGAGTCGGCCCTGTATATAGCAACAGATGAAATAACTCGAAGATGTTTGTTGTCATTGGCATCAATTCTTGGAAAACTTATATTTTTCTTTCAATGAAGTGTTGTATGCAATAGATATGTCCATGCTTCAGGGTTATGCAGTAGAAGAGTAGAGATGTATTAAGGTAGTAATTAATTTGTTCGGCAGATACTTGCCCAAGAAAAGCATGAACTTTGTCTGCTTTTTGATGAGATTGTGGAGAGAGAGGTGTTAATAATTTTACAGATAGTGGCCAGTGATGTGAGTGCAAACCTTGGAGACTAAGGTTTCTGATCCCAATAGAGACAAAAGATATTAGGTGGTTATATTTCATCTACCTAAATTTTGGTGGACAAAGTTATTCAGTACCTAGTGGTAGTGATAGTAGGTATTCAATGAAATAGTCGAGGTGCATGGAAACTAGCCCAAACACCACATCATAAAGTAGTTTTACTAGATAAATCATTCTTGGAAGGGCATATCAAATTTCTTTCCATGTACATCTTATAGAAGATTTAGAGATATTGGTCAAAAAAATACATACCTCAACTATTACTTTTTTGCGAGTTTCACACCCCAACTATCAGTATAGATGGTGATAGTTCAGATAGGAAAAAGATACAACGGATAATTGGGATGTGAAATTCGTGAAAAAAGTGATAGTTCAAGTGTGTATCAACCATTATGCCACCTAAAAAGTAAGAAATTGAAGCACCCAAAAGTATGATCTAGTAGTCAATTAAGTGGATTAAGAACCATATGGTCTCAGATTCAAATCCCAAGAGATCATTGACAAAGAAGAAGAAGGTTTGGAAAGGGATCAAACATGTTGAGGAAGAGCTTTAAAAACTTGGTGAATAAAGGCCTATTCCAAGAGGTCTGAGAAAGATTGCTTACGCCAAACCACTAGATGATCTCTTCCCATCTGTACAAGCCTAGTGGATAGAGTTACGCGGTAACTCTTTCTGGTTGGAGGTAGCAGGTATCCAGTGGAATTAGTCAAGGTGCAGACAAGCTAACCTAAACACCATGGTTATCGGAAAAAAAAAAAAAAAAAAGTAAGAAACTAAGGCCAGTATTGAATTACTAGAATAGGAATCAGCAATCTAAGTTCAATTTCACAGTCCAACTCGATCTTGTAGTTTCAAAACTTATCAACTGATACACCTTTGTCAAACTTACATCTCAACGTACACCAAAAGATTAATTCTGATCGATGACAAGTCTTGATCAATTCGAGTTTTCATGCATTGCTTTTATTTTCTTTTCTTGAAGGTTTTGAAGAATGTTGAATGGCCAGAACAATTTCCTTTAAAGGATGAAGATTTCCAGCGGTTTGATGAGTATAATCTATTGAACTTTTGCTTCCTTTTGTCTGTGTCTTTACTGTTCATATTTTATTAAGGGAAGAACACGAACAGTGAGCACAGAAGTCTGAAATTGGTTGCTTGGCACCATTCATTTTATTACTTTTAATCTGGAAAACACATTAGCAATACTAAAACAATTTCAGAAAAATTTGTCTAATTCCTAATGATGCATGATGCTGATCATTTTTCTGGTTTCAATTTATCGCTAACTCACTGGTTTGTGCTTTCACTAGTTATGATGTTCTTTGATAGTCACGCCTGTTGTCAAACATTGGTCAGGATTGATAAAATCAACTGCTAGGAAACAGAATTATGCTATAATTCCAAATTATCTTTGTTCTTCAAAGCCATAGAACTGTGAGGCTGAGAAATTGATTGGATTTCATCTTTGGATTGAGTTGATTTTCAGATCATCGGATACGTTATTCTATGAAATGCCGCGTTTCGTGACACATATTGATGATCAAGCTATTGCTGCACTTACCAAGTATTACTCAGAGGTCTTGCCTTCTAGTAACACTCCAGGAGTAGCAGTACTCGATATGTGCAGCAGTTGGGTAAGGTATCTCCTGCATGTAAATCTCTCCTTTTCTGAACATGTTTACATAATCGTAAACTGTTCTTTCTCCATATCTAGGTCAGTCATTACCCTGCTGGGTTCAAGCAAGAAAGGATAGTTGGAATGGGTATGAATGAAGAAGAGCTTAAGCGAAATACAGTAAGATCTAAAAAGTGCCTTCAAGTCTTAGCCTCTTATGCACTATTTTCTATTTAAATAAAACCTCCATTTGAGAATATCCTACCTCGTCCTTTTACAGGATGATGGGGAACTCACTCTTCTCTTCTTTAATTAACATGACATGTCAATTTTAAACACCACCCCCACATCCACACACACACAAAAAAAAAAAAAAAAAAAAAAAAAAGAGAGGGAGAGGAGAGTTCCAACAACTTGTGGGAGTGGGGAGTGGGGGTAGAAAGAGGAGTTCCATGACCTTTAAATTGTGGTCCACAGTAGTCAAAGATATCATTTCACAAAGTGGCCACTTGGGTGTGGTAGCTCTTTTTCCTTTGTCTGATCAAGATCCAGAAGTGGCTAGGCATCGTAAGGACTCTTTTGACGGAGTACAGGTTATTTAAGAACTTTTTCTCTCACTTCTACTTTAAAAAAAAACAGGTGCAAGCTGAAGTCATTTTTAGAATTAGAGGGAAGAAATTGAAATGGGATATATTCCTTCTGCCATTTTGTTGAATGTTTCATTGTGAAATTTGTACCTTACTTGTAAGGAGTTCTTGTTAAAGAACTATTGTGATGAGATGAATTTGCACACTTGCTTGTTTGATGTCTCTGCAGGTTCTTACAGAGTATGTAGTTCAAGACTTGAACAATAATCCTAAGCTCCCATTTGGAGACAATACTTTTGATGTTATAACCAATGTGGTATGTACATCTTTTTCTCATTCATATCTGGCCGTTGAACAAATGCTCATCTTTTCTGCATCCTATGTAGACAGGCTTAGACATGCGTATTGATGCTGTTCATTGTACTTTAAAGTTATACTCTTGCATCATTAGCTTTTCTGGGGTTTCTTCTATATGAACTGGATGGTCCATCATCCATGTCTGGTTTATTGGTTGATTTTAATGAAACAGCTCTTTGACTGGACTTCATGAAATCGCTTTTTAATTTAATGTTGAGGACTGTCTCTTCATTTATGGTTGAAATCCACAAGTTCAATTGCTTCTTTTATCACGTAAGGCTGTGAATACTTCTGATTACAACTAAAAAGTCAGTTGTGGCCTTAAGTAAACTGCATAGGATCAGAAAGTAATTTGTGCCGCGGTTAACAAGAAAAGTACGACTTACCATTTAGTCCATATTTTCTGACAATGATTTCTAATTTTTTAATTTCCTTTACTCGATTCTCAGTGATAGAAGAAACATGAAGAATTATTTTTTTGCTTAAAACATAATTGGAGTCGTTTGGTTTGAATTCAAGTTATGACGGGATTAGTTATGATGAGATAAATTATGATGGGATTAGTTTCGATGGGATAAGTTATAATAAGATTATTTTTTATTGAGTATTTGGTTTGCTGTGTTTAAAATAATAAATTTTAAGAACATTTGATTTGCTTACAAAAATGTCCTTAATGAATGTAAAAAGTGATGTATAAAAAGGGTTTAAAGAGACATTTTTGTCAGTTACTTAGTTTATCCGAGATAACTTATCCCGGGATTACTATACCACCCAAAGGGAAGAATAACTTATCCCGATACTAATTATTAATCCCGGGATAAGTTATCCCAGACTTGCCAACCAAACAACAAATTAAGTTGTGCTATAATTTAATCCCAAGACTATTTGATATTATCCTTCACACCAGACGACCCCTGAAACTATTTAAATAAAACAGCCAGCTTCTCTTTCTCAGAAATAGAAAAATCCAGCTTTTGATATCACTGTTGAAACTTGGAAATAACTCACTTTTGATTGTTTACCGGAAAAACCGTCATTTTGATTAACCGTAGAATTGTAGAAAGGGTTTTAAGGCAAGTCAAATAAGGTCGTCAAATTCATTTACTTTAGACTGAAAGTTCAAGGTGATGGATTAATACAAGAATGTAATATGTTACAAGGAAAAAGGGAATTCAATGGAGGGGAAGATTTAGAGCCTTTCCCCAAGGAAATTCTAAGGGAAGAATGTAAAAAAGACTAGTGTATCACTCTCCTAGATTTTTCGATGCCTTCTATTCTTCTAAGAGTCCTCTTTAATAGGCCATAAAAGTCGAACCATCGCGTCAATATGAAACAGAATGCATGCTTAGCACTGAAAATGCTACCTAGTAGCACGTGCCTACTCTCTGACGCTTTGCCTGGAATGATTGGGGGCAGGTTGGCCCACAACTCGAGATTGATTGTTAATTCCACCCGAGAGTCATTATAAGGGTGTCCAACTGAAGATGGCCTAACCCGGGGAAAGGTCTTGTAAGATTTCCGGTCACATGGCAACTTTATATGATCATATGTCAACACCCCAGGTCACGCCGGGAACAGTCCCTCCCAATTTCCCCGGGTTGTAACAAGCATTTCTTGGTCTTGATTTTACCACGTCACAGTCTAGTTCGTCAGACGTATTTTTTTCCCCATACAGATAGTTCCCCACTTTACAGACACCTAATGAAATGTATCCGGGAAGTGGAATTTGCTGTGCTGTTTTCGGGGCTGACGATGATTGATTGCTACTGCATATAATGGGGCTTTTGGTTCGTTGCACTTAGACCGTCCTGTCACGTACCTCTTTTCACTTGGATCATCGTAGACATTGGATTTTAAAGTCATCATGAATACCTTTTGACAAAGAATCCTGTGTTTGGTTTCCTTGTTAAAAAGATTACCGAAAAAAACTCCTCCAGGACAAAAGACCTTACCAAGGCAAAGAGTGTAACATATGCCTTTTGGCTTCCTCAAGAATTTGGCTACTACAGAATCGAGGATCAGCAGCCTGTCATCGTAAGCTATCTTCCTTAAGTCTTTTAATCTGACGTGCTTTTGGTCATCCCTTATCCTTCGGTGTCCTTGCCCGTTCCTATATTAACAACTTCTTAAAAATGGTTAGCCCAAATTAAAAGGGATTTTATTTTATCATGCGGGAGGATCCTGTCTAGCCATTGAATGGAGGTGAGCCTCTTCACTGCTCATAAAGTAATATTTGTTTCCTAATAACTGATGGGATTTCCCCGTGGACACTTAGTCAGCCTTTCAAAGTTTTGGTTGTTGATCTGGTGACCCCCCCTGCCCAGAGTTGTCCCAGATGCGTTTGAATTTGCGTCTGTCTTAGCAATCGGGGAAAAAACCCTCAATTTGTTTGAGAGTGTTTGGGCATTAGTGTCAGACTTTTTTTCTAAAGGAGAATACTTTACCGTAAGGGTCAACCGTCTCAAACCAATTCAAATCTATATTCATTTTAGAGTATTGGGGGATGATCATCTGAATAGCATGAGAGAACACTTAACCATAAAGATCAGCCGCTTCCATCCTTGTTCGGAATTATGTTTTGTATTAACTTGTTGGCAAGAGTACTCCTGCATTAGAAGGATGATCCCTTGGCAGGTCGCAAAAGACCCATTTCATTCCATGGCTTTCTTCCTTGGGGTCGAGTTCTTGACTAAATCTGAGTATGTGACATCAGCCACGAATTATTCTTGGGAAATGACCATTCGGTACATAAAGAAGAAAGATAGGGGAGGGACCCCGTTTCTTCATAAAGAAGAGACCTTTATTTTGTTTAGGTGCTCTCGAGCAGGAAGTCTTGACTCCATTTTTAGGCACAAGGTTTCTTGGAACCTTCTTACGGTATGAGTCCAGAGGCTGCATCATTTAGCGGGAGCTTTTACGATTTTGAGTATGTAGTCTGTATCATTTGGCGATTTGAGTCCAGAGACAACATCATGGGTGGGAGCTTTTACAATCTGAGTTCTGAGATTTTATTTGTTGGCGATTTGAATCTGGAGAATGCACCTTGCAAGTTAGACAACTATCCTACCCTGATGTTGAGAGCCTGTGATAAGTTATAGACAACACTTGGGATGATTCAACACCACATCATGTACTTCAAATCTTAAGTTTGCGTCATTGTCATAAATGTATCATTGTTCTAGCAAAAACAAAATTCAAAGCTAATGAACTTTGATTCTCCTTGCAGGTTAGTGTAGATTATTTAACGAAGCCTCTTGATGTTTTCAAAGAAATGTCGCGTGTTCTTAAACCTGGTGGACTTGCAATTATGAGGTAAATAATGACTATGAAGTGTAAATTTTTATTTTCTCAGATGAATACAAATCCAGAAAGTTTTTCTTGGCTTGTTTCCGCAAACCTTTTTTTTTCTTAGATATCTAAACTTGGACTAGTAGTTTCCAGTGTTAACTTAATTCTAAATTATAAGGCTTGAAAACAATCTTTTCTTCTTGGACTCTGCCTGTATACCAGTTTCTCGAACCGCTGCTTTTGGACAAAGGCTATCTCGATATGGACATCAACTGGAGATGCTGATCATGTTATGATTGTTGGGTCCTATTTCCATTATGCTGGTGGATTTGAACCTCCACAGGTAACTTCTAGGTTCTCTACTTAGAGCATTTGTTAAAGTTGTTCATCTTCAACAAATTAAACTTACGAAGAAGCGATTTCTCTTCAATCAATATGATAGACTGATCTGGTTGTCAGCATAAATTGTATTGAAGTAGTAGAGTTTTTCCTTTCAGAAAACTCAAGTTCATTGGTGCTGATTTCTTTTGACCTTGCTTGTGTATAGGCTGTGGATATATCTCCTAACCCTGGCCGCTCAGACCCCATGTATATAGTCTATTCCAGGAAGATAGCGACAGCCTGAAATTCAACGCTCGTCCAGCTATAGAGTTTTCTTGTGCCATTGATCACATCATAATGTATAGTGAGGAGTAAGTGAAAGGTGATTGATAACATTTTCCTTCATAAAATGTGATCACGATCCCGTTTTAACTATCATAACTTGATGGAGTTGTGTATATTTTTAAGTTGAGGATAAGTTTTGAGGAAAGAAACAAGTCCAACATCACACATCACAAACACCTAATTCAAGACGCCATCTAGTTTTAACAATAATAACTTCATTAAGGGTGGGTTTGGAATGAATCCAATTTTATCATGGTTGGTTGTGTTTTGGAAAATGTTTTTTCAAATCAACTCATTTTCCTCAAATTTAAAAAAAATGACTTTTCTTCAAAAATTAAGGAAAACATCTTCCCAAACTCTTCTCCAACTTCATATTAGTACAATTTTTTTGTTGAAAAAATAAATTTAAAGTTTATTTTCAAAAAAATATTTTCAACTTCAATGTCAGCCCCTAACCCCCCCCCCCCCCTCCTCCCCCACAAAAACAAAATTATAGTTTGTTTTTAAAAAATATTTCAATTTTTTTATTTTTTCACTCCAACCCTACCCTGACCCCCCATCAGCCCCCCACGCCCACCAAAAAATAATATTTTAACTTCGTTTTTTAAAAATATTTTCAACTTCAATTTCTTATTTGTTTGACCCCACCCTCACCCCTACCGCCCCCAGCCCCCTACCACCTCCCCCCTCCAAAAAAAAAAAATATAAAAAAAATTAAAATTTATTTTTAAAAAATATTTCCAATTTCAAATTTTTATTTTTCACCCCCACCCCACTACTCCCCTACTCTCCCCCTCCCCACCCAAAAAAAAATTTAAAAAAATTCAATTTTGTTTTTAATAAATATTTTCAATTTAAAATATTTATCTTTCATCCCACCCCCTATCCTCGATCCCCCCCGTCAGCCCCCCCACCATCCCCCCCTCCCAAAAAAAACAAATTAAAGTTTTTTTAAAAAAAATATTTTCAATTTGAAATTTTTAATTTTTCACCCCACACCACTCCTACCCGCGACCCCCCCCCCCAATCAGCCCCCCACCCCTCTACAAAAAATAATTAAGTTTATTTTTAAAAAAATATTTTCAATTTCAATAATTATTTTCTACTCTCTAGTAAAAGTAAAAGATATTTTCTCAAAATTATTTTTCATTCGTAAATTAAACACTAAAATATATTTTTTCAGAAAATATTTTCTACTCACCAGCCAAACATGAAAAAATAAGTCAAAAATCTATTTATTTTTTAAGAAAACATTTTCTATGAAAACATTTTCCTTCCCACCAAACACACCCTGAATGTCTCCAATAGTCATGACCTTCTAGTTGACGATACTCTTTTGTCATAAGACTAAAATTTGTAATGCTTGATGCTCGCATATGAGATTCTTTTGATGTGAAATATCCATGTTCACCCTAAAACAATTCATAAAGGAATTATATGAAACTAAGGACCAAGAATAGTACTAAGCATAACATCCATCTCAATGGCTATGACTGCCTACCACTCTTTAGAATTATTTGCCTCTAGATTTGTCACGATCCGAGTCTATATTCTAGACGTGGCTGGCACTCGAGAACCATTGTTGGTCCCCAAGCAAACCCTCATCCTGATTGACTACAAGCAGAAGACTAACTCAAGCATACAAAGCTTAAAACTGAATAAAATTCATTGAATTCAAATACAAAGCTTTTAATTCTGAATATAATAGAATATTCAACTAGCCAAAAATAGGCAACTCAAGTCTTTAAAACATTTAACAAAATAAATGAACAGACTTCTCAAACTCTATTATCTATCTATGAAGCCTCTAAATGACAAATATAGAAGTCGGGACAAGACCCACGACATCCTGACAAAATTGAAAAGTAAATGGAATCCTTCGGAAGCAAAGAGGCTCACCATAGATAACTCGAACTGCAAGTGGTATCAACGAAGCGCATGTTGATGACCCTAGCTACCTGTATCTGCATCATGAAACGATGCAGTCCTAATGACTCAGTACATGGAATGTACGGGCATGTAAGGGGAATTCTAAAGCATAAACATAAACTTGAATTTTATAATAAGGAAACATACTTACCTCTTCTCAACTCAATCAATTCAACTCAACTCAAAGAAACATAGTTCAACTCAACTCAGAGAAAATAGGACTCGACTCAATAACAGGATATTCAACTCAGTGAAACGTAGTTCAACTCAACTCAGAGAAAGTAGAGTTCAACTCAATAACATGATATTCAACTCAGTGAAACGTAGTTCAACTCAACTAAGAGAAAATAGGGCTCAACTCAACAATAAGGTACTCAATTCTGACTCAAGATACTCAACTCAAACTCAAGATACTCAACAACAATAAAAGATGCAATATCGGAAAAGCTTTTAAAACAATAGGCAATAACTCAGTTGTATGCAAAAATACAATAATAGCTCAATTGTATGAAAATACAACAATAACTTTGTTTGTATATAAAAGTACAAAGTAACTTTGTGGGAGATTCTCTAATCGACAACCATCATTATGAGCTATGTGATGATACAACGTCTAGCTCACGCTGCCAGAATTGTCCTATAGTTTGTCAGGGTATAAAACTTACTACTAAGTGGATCCACTAGTCTATGCTAAAAAGAAATAATGAATCATCTAAAAAGTATGACCCTTTCTACCCACGTTGGCTATATGGTTTATGGGGGTTGTGAGTTGTATGAACTCTTCCCCATATCAGTGCTCAATACTACTCCCAAAAATATACTAGCTCATATGTTTTTAAGAAAACATAACTCTTTCTGTGGTTTGAGATTATTACTCAAAAATCTTTCTCATAAAAAAGATGGTACTCAAAACTGCTTATGAAAACTCTTTTGAAAATCGGTGTTTTGTCTGCTTAAATGTAAAAACATTTACTCTTGGGAATACTTAGTTCCCATATATCATTTTAAAGAAAATGAACTCAATTCTACTCTTCTTCAAACTCATATGCTCAAGTATTTAAAAAAAAAAAAATGTTTGCAAAAGACTTCTCAAAATAGGGTTCATGCAAGATTATGGGCATGAACTACTCAACTCAAGGACTCAATGATATTTCTCATCTCAAGATTGCTCGACTCATAGGGTTTATGTGGAATTATGGGCATGAACTACTCAACTCAAGGACCTTCATGGGTAACATGTAGTAGTCTCATGACTAGGAATATAATTCCAAAAGGATTAGGAACGCAGCACTCAAGACTTAGAACTTGAAGATACTACTCCTCTCAAAGATACTCAAATTATGGAGTTCATGCGAAATTTATGGGCATGAACGACTCCACTCAAGGATCTCAATGATAATGTAGACTTATGAATACATTGTCCTCATTCTCATACTTACTTACTCGAGTCTTGAAACAAGTTATTAGAAATTGTAGAAAGCTTCTCAAAAAGACTCAAAGGGACTTTCTCAAAATGTTCGAAACAACTCTTAAGACTCAACTCTTAACTCTACCTTCAATTTGAATTCTGAATTCAAGGTTATGATTCATGTTATGAATGATTTCTAGGTGTTTAGAAGTAATTTAGAGTGTTTAGAATCAATAGGGATTGAAGGAATCCTTTTATAGAACTCAAATTGATAGTTGATCTCGAAGGATTCACAATTTAACTCAAAGACTTTCTTGAACTCTACTATTGAATCTTCCTTGAATTTGAATTATGAATTCAAGGATCGTGACTTGATATATAGGATTTCTTGATGATTGGATGTAGGTTGGAGAATAAAAATCACTAAGAGAGCGAATACATGTTTTGGAAGATCGAATACGAAATGAAGAACGGAAGCGGAAAGGACCTGACATCCCTCGCGCGCAGTGGCGCACCGCGCCAGCCCTCAGTTGGCTGAGGCTTGTCTGGGGCGCACTGCAGGCGCAGGGCGCCAGCCCCTCAGGCACAACAGGGGCGTGCCGCCCCAGCCACGTTCCAAACGAATCTGACGAACTTTTCCTCAATTATTCCATCCCTACCTCGTCTAAACTCGAATGATTTTCTCCAAACTCTTTTGAATCCTTAAACCCAACCTAATTACAACGAATTCTACACCAAAAACCCACCAAGAACAACACTCATTCGCAACACTCACCTCAAGAACTCAACAAGAACTTCATTATAAAAAATGAAGCACAAAACTTCAAGAACTCAACAAGATTATCAATATACTCAATCTCATGGATGAAATTCATAAGAGAAACTCATGATTGGTGTGTGGACAAACAAACACAACACTATGGAAACTTACATACCTCTTAGAATAAAATTCTTGGCGAAATCCCTCGAAGAATCACAAGAATCTTGACGAACGCCTTGAACCTTCCCTCTTTTTCTCCCCTTCTCTTCTTGAACTCCTCTAAAAACCCTAAGAGTATTTTAGGAATAACTAAAACTGATTCCAATCAGTTTAGACTCCTAAAACCTTACCAAAAACGTTTAAATCTGATTGGGTAAGGAAAAGACCAAAATATCCCTCATATTTTCGGGTAACTTTTCTTAATTGGACAATCAAATGGACATATCTCCCTCATACGAGCTCAAAAATTAGCAAACTCAGTGGCGTTGGAAAGAGGATTCCAAGACCTTTCATTAGATATCTTATGGGTCTCCTAACTCATTCTGTGTTGAAAGTTATGGTCGTTTGAAGTTGACCCAAAAATTAAAAGAACTTAGGAATGACTTGAATGAACTTTCTTCTAAAACCCTAAGCGTATTTGGATTTATGAAAACTGACCCAAATCAAATTTGTCACCAAAATATTACTCAAGTTTGTTTTAAGCTGATTGGGTAAGGAAAAGATCAAAATACCCCTCATATTTTCGGGTAACTTTCCTTAGTTGGACAGCCCGACTTCAAATGGGCATATCTCCCTCATACGAGCTCAAAAATTAGCAAACTTGGTGGTGTTGGAAAGAGGACTATTTTCGGGTAACTTTCCTTAGTTGGACAGCCCGACTTCAAACGGGCATATCTCTCTCATACGAGCTCAAAAATTAGCAAATTTGGTGGCGTTGGAAAGAGGATTCAGAGATCTTTCATTTGATATCTTATGGGCCACCTAACTCATCATGTACCGAAAGTTATGGTCATTTGAAGTTGATCCCAAACTTATAAGAACTTAGGAATAACTTGAATGAACTTTCTTCAATTG